CAGAGGGCCTCTAGTCTTCAGTTCTATGCCCCTTACTGTAATCCTTCCTCGTATGTCACTTTTGTTTTAATTTCGTATTTGCGCATATATAGATGCACCCATAACTCATATAATACACAAATGTGATGAGTAGACACATAGCTGTTGATTTTAGTACGAGATGTTTCCCCACTTTTATTTTCTAGCTCGGCTCTCTGTTCCCATTTCAGTTACACATAGACGCACTGCTCCTTGCTCTACTGCTCATAGAAAGCACGTATATTTTCACACATATACTATTCTACCAAAATAGGATCATATTACATTTTACCTTTGTCACTCAAAAACACCCTGTTATATTATGTCCCTATTTATGGGCATTTATTTTGTTTACTTCCTTATCTATCGTACCTACCTGATATATGTCAATGAAGGAATGCTTTCATTTTGAGGGCATAGATTTTCAGTATTGGGTTTCATTTAGATTGAAGTGAGTTTCTTTTTTATTTTAATAGTTGTTGCCAGGCTGATAGAATATTGCCATAGGGTGTTATAGTATAATTACATTTCCTATTAGTCAACGATAATGGAAAGTACCTCTTTCTATTTATCCCCACCAACGATTGTTTAAGTTTTTGCCGGAGCCTGATAGAAATGCAGCGGCTCTTGATCTCTCTGTTGGAATGGCTCTGTATTGGGGTGTCCGAGTTCCTCCCACTCCCAAGTTGGGTGATCGTCTAGGAGAACCAGAGCGGTCAGCGTGCAGTCGCAGTCACTGGCCTGTCTGCTTTATTACAGTGAAAGGACATTAAGTCAGCAAACCAAGAAGGATCACGGGGAGAAGTCCGGTGGAAACCAGGCACCAGCTTTCAATAGTTTTCTCCAGTGGAGTCATATGGGACACAGTAATTCCTTCAGCAGCGAATTGTGATGACATATATCAAATGTTGTCTGTCAGGAAGCTTGTTTAGAGACTCAGTGCCTTAGGTTTTTATCGGGGGTGATCACATAGACATCCTCTGCCTAGGACATAACAAAATTCCAGACTTCCTGAGGAAAGCAGGTGTTTGGGATAAGCCACATTGTTTGCATAGTTTAGGTGCAGTGACCAACCTCAGCAGTTATTGGGATCCTCCCAGAACCCCGAGTTCCAAAGGCTAATACTTTGAAAGCAGAGTTTTCTAAGGATAGTAGTCTGTGGCCTGCTGGATTGTCTTTTCTTTTCCCTTTTTTCTTTTTTTTAAGTAGCTTTATTGAAATATAATTTATATACCAAACAATTCACTCATTTGAAGTGTACAATTCAGTAGTTTTAGTAGAGTCACAGAAAAATGTACATCCATCACCACGATTTTAGAGCATCTTCATCACGTCAGAAAGAATCCCCGTACCCTTTAGCTGTCACTCCCTACCCTCTGCAGACGCCGCTTCCCGAATCTAAGCAACCACAGATCACTCTGTCTGTAGATTTCCCTTTTCTGGACATTTTGCAAAGTGGAATCATATAATATGTGGTCTGCTGTGACTGGCTTCTTTCACTTAGCAGATGTTGTCAGTGCTCATGTTGTAGTGCGGGTAAGTACTCCATCCTTGTGGTGGCCGAATCACATTCCATCGTGTGAACACGCGTGCGCGCACAGACAGACAGACACACACACACACACACACACACACACCCATGTTTTGTTTATCCCCTCATTGGTTGATCGACATTCGGGTTTTTTCCACCTTTCAGCTGTTATGAATGTTGCTGTGTTAGCTCTTTTCTGCACTCTCCCAAATATTTATCGAAAGAGTTGGTAGAATTATATTTGCATTCTTGGAATAAACCCAACTTGGTTATTATTCTTTTCAGTAGCACACTTTTAGATTTCATCCATGTCTCTTAGCCGTTTGAAAATATTCAAATTATCCCCTTCCTTTTCCCTTTTCTAATGTTTCGTAGGAGAATTTCTTGACCTGAGTTTACCACTTGTTAATATGATCGTCCTTTCTACTCATTTTGCTAGTTAAATCATCTTTCTTTTTTTTAATCTCAGTAGTTTTTAAAAAATGTGCTTATATTGGACTGGTGGGTACTTACTAAGCTTACGTTTGTGTTCCCTGTGGTCTGTTCGTCCTGTCCCTTGGCACAGGCCTTTCTGTCATAGCGTTTGGACTCTGCAAGTGTCTGCTTCTCTTTTTCCTGGGAGCACCAAGTAATAAACTTAGCAGTATTTACATGAGAAGGTGAAAGCACTGGCAATAATTTGTTTCTTCCGATGTTTTCAGGGAGTAGGGGTGGGGAAATAGGGCTTGGTTGGGAGAGGTGCAGCTTGAGAGTTGGTTCCCAGTGGAGCTTCCTGTTGCCTCACCTGGGGGCGCGGTCTTTCCGAGGCCTGCTCTCCTCTGCCCTCCCTGTTTCTCACGGGACTGTCTGTTGCGTTGTGTCATCTCCAGAGTTGTGTTGGAGAGGGGCCTGGAGCACACACCGGTCTGACATCTTGCACGGGAAGGGAATCCAGGGTTTTAAAGTTCTGTCTGCCTGTGCTCCTCACCCATTGAGCTCGCTGAGGGTGGGGTTGCTTCCTGTGCCTTCTTAGTGCAGCTTAGTGGTGCACACCTGGTGCCTAATAAGTGCTTGGTGGAAGGATCTCACTTCAAAAGGATTCTTCCATTAAAAATATGAATCCACTACCAGTACAGACGTCATGAAGTCATGACTACATGTATTGAACACTTAATTTGTATGAAGGGTTTTGGAATCATTTAGATTACTTTAGAGGAGGTTGCAACCCATAGAGTTAAAATAAAAAGAAGAAAACAACTAACATAATGTAGTGTTTTATAATTCTTGAAACATCTAAGCTATGGTAATCAGGGCTAGTAGTGTCACCCCCAGTTTATAGAGGACAAAGCTATGAATCAGAGATGACATGGATTCGTCTTAAGAACAAGCAGCTGATGAGTGATGACGTGGTACGTGGGGCTGGAGACACACGCCGCCTGACTACTTCTGTAGGGACCGGTGCTTTCCTTCTTAGCCCTCGATGCTTGCTGTCTTCGTGGGTGTTTGGTCTGTGGTACCAAAGTGCCCTGTGCCATTCCGTCTCTCACCTTTTTGTGCTGTGCAGATGAAACTCGGTGACTTTCGCCCAGAGTTTGAAGCCCAAGTCCTTACAAAGGGCTGTGAGGCCCCACGAGGTCGCTCTTTCCCGTCCTCCCACCTTCTCTCCTCTGCTGCCACGCTGGGCTTCTTACTGTTCTTCCAAGACGCCAGCAGGCTGCTCACTCTCCAAGGTGGCATCTTCGCTTCAGATCTTGGTGCACTGGCAACCTCAGACTTGCTGCGACTCCTGTTTAAAAGTGCAAACCGTCTCACATTATGCAGTTGACCCTTAAACGACGCAGGGCTTAGGGGTGCCAGCCCCCTGATTATAGTCAAAAATCCACGTATAACTTCTGACTCCTCAAAAACCGCAGTCTCCTGGTATCTACCGGGGACTGGTGCCAGGACCGCCGCAGACGCCAGGCTCGGCGGTGCTCCAGTCCCTCCCGTAAAGCGGCTTGGGACAGCACACACGGTTGGCCCTCCGCGCCCGTGGGTTCCCAGCCACGGATTGAAATAGACTTCCGATCTTCAGTTGGTCGAATCGTTGTCGTGAAGCCCAGGGGTACGGAGGGCTGACCATAAATCGATCGGAGAAAACGGGTGTGCAAGTGGGAGAAAGCGTGTGTGCGAGTGGGCCCGCGCCCTCCCCTCCCTCGCACGGTCCTGTCGCACTCAGCGCGTAACGGCGCGTGCGTGCAGTTTATCGTTCTTCGCGCTGCTGTCCGTCTGTCCTCGCTGGAAATGGTACTTCCAGTGCCTGGCATGGCGCGTGGCTCAGTGCATGCCTGTTGAATGAATGAATGCAAGAAAAGAAATTTAATTCTTTGAACAAAACTTTGTTAGTAATACTTTATTGTTTTTGAGAAGTTGAACATTTAAAGTCCTTTTACCATGGAGCCTGTATTCAGAAATAATATGGAAATTTACTTGAATTAAGATTTGTTTATCATTTTAATGTTTCTTTTGAGTTTTAATGTATATCAATTTGCATAAAATCTGACTTTGTTAGAAAAAATGATATAATTCTGTGTAAGTTATGTAACAGTGTAGAATTTGTATATGCATTTGTTTTAATAAACAGCAATTTAGTGTTGACAACGAAGTATTTTTCAAAATACTATCTGAAATCTAATTTAATTATAGTTTTCTGTAGAATATTTTGAAACATATAACCACTGAAATCTTGAAGTAGGTGTTGATTTTTTCTGCATTTAAATTTTTTTTGTCAGTGTTTGGGAAGTTTAACCTTTTTGATTTACATTAAAAACTGAAAATTCTTATTTTATACTAGATTTCATTAGTTTCACAATGATGTAGCATGATAACAGCTACAGAATATTTTGAAAAATAGCACTTCATTAAACCATACTGGATATTGTGCAAATTCCATCCCCTTTAAAGGTGGAACCAAATAATCTCTATTACCTGACTTATGGTCAGTGTGCAAAAATATCATGTTTTTTATTTTATTTCTAAATTCTAGTCGATATACAATATTTTATTAGTTTCAGGTGCGCAACATAGTGATTAGACGTATGCCTCACGAAATGATCACCACGTTACGTCTAGGACCTCTCTGCCACCATACAAAGTCATTATGATGTTATTGACTATCTTCCTTCTGCTGTACATTACTTCCCTGGGACTTACTTATAACTGGAAGTTTGTGCCTCTTAATCCCTTCACTTTTTTGCACCCCCTCCCCTACTCCCATCTCACAGGCAACCATTAGTTTGTTTTCTGTAGTGTTTGATGTGACATTGATATTTCAACAATTTTTAATGATGAACTGTTTTCATTTTCATATTTTAGAACATTAGTTCTAATCCTTTTATGATTTTATATTCAATATTTTAAATATATATTCAATATTTGGGATTTTCTTGATTAGTCTTTACCTTTATTTAAACATTTCTTTTCTTCCTTATAGGTTTGCTTTGAGGTTACGTGGGTATGAAATATGGAGTCATCTTTGGTAACTTCACCCAGGAAAGGGAGAGCCTTCTTCCTCATTAAGAGACCATAAGGACAGCAGTGACCAAAGGAGTCATGCCAGATGCCACCTCTCCATCAAGACAAATGGCTTGTGTTTTAAAGAAAATGATTTGTTCATTGACATTTTTACCAGTTTAAAAAAATCTTTTTCATTTTAAACTATACAAATCTCTTATACAATTTAACACATATAAAAATCTTTGAGGCTTTGTTTAAGATAGCTTTCTTTTTTAACTTTCAAAACTTAATGTTTATGTACCCTGTTTTGACTTCGCAAAGTCCTCGAAATTTACAGCATCAGGAAAGATATGAACTTGGAAACTTACATTATAATAGACTGCAGTGACTTTAAGTGGACAGACAATTCAAGATATCATCCAATTTATCATCAGAAACTTCACATAAGTATATGATTCTTAGCTTTAATGCAAACGAAGTTGCTCGAAAATGGCGTGGGTAAAATTCCTACGGAAACCCGGGGGCAATCTTGGAAAAGTCTATCAGCCAGGGAGCATGCTGTCCCTGGCCCCCACCAAAGGCCTGTTGAACGAGCCAGGACAAAACAGCTGCTTTCTCAACAGTGCCGTCCAGGTGAGACCGTGAGGCGAGTTCTTACCGCACTTTAAAAAGTGCTGTTCGGGGAACTTCTTTTCTGTAATGCTGCTTTCACTTGTAAATTAAGAATATAGTTAGTGTTGACTTTTATGGGTGGCAAAATAATTTGGCTCGGTATTTTGGTTTTTATAACAAATGGAAATGGTTTTTTCAACAGAATCATATTACTATGATATAAAAATATATTGATTTAAAATGATTACTTAATAAATTAAGAATATTTCTAGAATACATAAAATAATTTTTTAAAATTCAGCTAACGTACCCCCCCACCCTCCTAATCCCCCCCCCCCCACCCCACCTTTTTTTT